TACTGATATGTCAGATTTGTGTGTCATCAGCATAGAGATGGTATTGGAACCTACACATACACCATAGAATGTTATCACTCGTCCATAATTATCAGCAGTGGTCATGGTGCCCTTCAATATCTGCAAATTTCAAGCAAATGGGCAATATTTCAGAGCTGTCCACATATGGCCAGGGTGGTGGGAAGCGGGTTGGGGTAACAAATGTAGCACTACCCCCTCAAGGGTTGCTTAGTCATTTTTGGGTTCCTTGTCAATCTGGACCTCTTGTTGAAGGCCCAACCTCTGCTGACACCACCGTGCTCTTGTGACCAAAGTAAATGGCACCTGTAAGATGGACTCACACACAAGTCAGTATAGACCAATATGAACTTTATATTGGTTATACGTTCATCATAAAGCAACTCTCGCATTACTAACCTACTAAGCGACATATTGGCATGGATGTTACTCAATTTCCTCAAACTCAATCTTTCCAAAATGGAGCTCATACTATTCCCTCCATCCTGTGCCCCCTCCCCCGATTTCTCCATCAAGATCAACAATACAACCATCAGTCCTTCCCCTCATGCCAAGGTACTAGGTGTAATCCTAGACTCTCATCTGTCCTTTCAGTCCCAAATCCAACCACTGTCCAAGTCTTGTAGACTTCACCTCCGCAACATCTCCAAGATACATCCGTTCTTAACCTCTGAAACTACTAAGCAACTTATTCACTCCCTTGTTATATCTCGCCTTGACTATTGTAACTTCCTCCTCATTGGCTGTCCTCACCGCTGGCTATCCCCTCTTCGTTCTATCATGAATGCTGCTGCCAGACTCATCCACCTTACTAACCGTTCTGTATCTGCCACCCCTTTCTACCAATCCCTTCACTGCCCACCACTCAGTGTCTGCCAATCCCTCCACTGGTCCCCATTCAGTTTCCTCCCCCCCCTCTGCCAATCCCTCCACTGGCCTCCACTCAGTGTCCTCCATCCCTCTCTGCCAATCCCTCCACTGGCCTCCACTCAGTGTCCTCCATCCCTCTCTGCCAATCTCTCCACTGGCCTCCACTCAGTGTCCTCCACCCCTCTCTGCCAATCCCTCCACTGGCCTCCACTCAGTGTCCTCAACCCCTCTCTGCCAATCCCTCCACTGGCTTCCCATTGCCCAACAAATAAAATTCAAAACATTAAAAATAACATATAAAGCCATTTATAACTCTGGGGCTGAAAGGACAGATTGGAGTCTAGGATTACACCTAGTACCCTGGCGTGAGGGGTGTGACTGATGGTAGTGTTGTTGATCTTGATGGAGAAGTCGGTGGGGGGGGGGGGGGGGGGGCGCACGGGCTGGGGGGAATACTACAAGCTCAGTTTTGGAAAGGTTGAGTTTGAGGAAGTGGAGTGACATCCATGCCAATATGTCATTTAGTAGGCTAGTGATATGATTGGAGACTGAAGGGGTGAGGTGAGGGGTAGACAGATAGATTTGTGCGTCGTCGAGAGATGGTAGTTGAAGCCGTGGCAGTTTATCAATTGGCCAAGGGAGAAGGTGTAGATAGAGAAGAGGAGGGGTCCGAGGACAGAACCTTGAGGGACCCCTACAGAGAGAGGGAGCAAAGGGGAGGTGGCAGCATTATAGGTAACACTGAAGGAGTGCTGCGATAGATAGGAGGAGAACCAGGAGAGAGCGGAGTCTCTGAGGCCAAGAGAGTGCAGTTTTTTGAGGAGGAGGGGATGGTCAACCGTGTCAAGAGCCGCAGAGAGGTCAAGTATTGTATTGCAAGTAAAAACATTTCAATGGGTTCCACAAATGACAGGTAGAAAATGTACTTCCAGAAAAATAAAATAAACTGCCAACTGTTCTCATGGGAAACACAGACAAAGCTGAGTATGTTCTGGAGGAGGAAGGAGGACGTTACCACGACCCATGGCTGAGCTTTATATGTACATAATGGGAAGGATAACTATGGATGGTTGGAGATAGTTGGGACAGAGCAGTAATATGTCCATGTTTAATGCAGTTTTATAATTCCTTCCAATTTTTACAGGGAAACCAACTCCAGAGAAAAAAGAGGTGTCACCCAGCCACTCGTCCTCTCTGGTTCTGATTGAGAATATCCAGGACAGCCACAATCCTCAGATGTTAAACCTCCTGGTGGAGAATATCAGTGACAGATCCATGGACACGGACTTCTACATAGAGAGGATTCTGGAGATCCAAACTGCCGTCATCACCTTCACATGTGATATAGGTCAGACACCCAACAAAGACAACGATTTATGAACAACTCCATAACAACGAATCAAATTCCATGTTTTATCTTAGAGTTCTTCTTAGAGAGCAGAAGATGACATGTGATTGGTTGGTTTGGGCTGTGGAAATATTTCTCTTTTTTCCTCCGTTTTACATTAATCAGTGACTTGATGTGAGGGAAGTTGCAGGGCCAACATTTGGAGAAGGACCCTCCTGTGAACTGCTCACTAATTCTTTAACACGCTAGACAGTCTTGTCCAGGCGTCCAAGTCTATTGATTAGATGGAGCTGGGAAGCAAAGGAAATACATACATCTTTGTAATAAGAGATACAATGTAACAATTCTAGAGAACACTAGAGGGAATCAGCACATAAATGTAACCCAATAGTTCCATGATCTGTAAGCAAATGCCAGAATACTAGGGCTGGGCTGGGAATATACGTGTATCTACGTATTCACTGGGATGTGATGTCTCTATTCACAGATATTGCAGATTTCATTGAAAAATTCTCCGGTAGCCCAAGAATAAAAAAGCATAAACTAACAGCAAAGAGTCTGGAAGAAACCAGAAGTGTCCGAGTGGAGGGGATCCCCCCCAATACCCTGGAGGACATGCTCACACTTTACTTCGAGAGTACAAGGAACGGAGGAGGGAGTGTAGAAGATGTGAAGATGTTATCGGATGAAAGAGCCGCACTGGTCACATTTCACCAGGCAGGAGGTGAGAGGGATAGAGGTTGAGGGCACTGGGGGATGGTAATGTCTGGGGCAGGAAGGGGTAGACTTGATACTGTATATTATCACGCTCAGGGCCAGGACAAGGGGTGGGCGGGAGAGGCGGCTGCTCTGGGCACAATGGTTTGCTGTAGGGATGGGGATGCCTTTCTTCTGTTACAAGGCTGACAGGAGTAGTGACAGCGGCATCACCACTCCTGTCAGCCCAGCACTGGGAGTGGCAAAGGGAGAGCCAAGAGGCAGCACGGTGTGTTCTCTCTCCCACTCCTTCCTACATCTTGTGGTTGGACCGCATTGCGAAAAACTGCACTTCCAGGTCGATGCAAAACCTGATCAGGAGCTGCACAGCGATTTTGACAATTGACAGCTTTGCATTGGATCCCCTAACCTTGTACATCATGAAAGGGGGGGAGGGGGTGCATTTTGGCATCTTTGCCCTGGGCACTGGATGACCATGTCCTGGCACTGGTCATGCTCTGCAAGAAATCAAGCACTGGCAGCAAGGGCCACAGAGTTACACCTACTTACTGTATATTTAAGTGCTGAGCACATTCTTTTTTATTATTATTATTATTATTATATTATTATTATACAGTATTTATAAAGCGCCAATAGTTCGCTCAGCGCTGTACATTACAAAGGGGGACAGAACATGTGACAGAACAATACCAATACAATGCATGATACACGAGGGGTTCGAGGGCCCTGCTCCTTCAAGCTTACAATCTAGGAGGGAGGGGATAGTGGTACAGGAGGAGATAGCTGTGGGGGAATGAAGTGGTAGGAAGGTGGAGGAGGTCGGCAATTAGCAGGGGGTGGGGTAGGCTTCCCTGAAGAGGTGGGTTTTCAGGGTGATAGTAGGTGATAGTCTGATGGATTGGGGTAGGGAGTTCCAGAGGATAGGTGATGTCCTGGAGAAATCCTGGAGGCAAGCACGGGAGGAGGAGACAAGGGAACTAGAGAGAAGGAGGTCTTGTGAGGAGCAGAGTGTGCGTGTTGGGTGGTATTTGGATATTAGGTCAGTGATGTAGTTCGGGGCAGTATGATGGACAGCTTTGTATGTCAGTGTTAGGATTTTGAATTTGATCCGTTGTGCAATCGGAAGACAGTGGAGGGATTGGCAGAGGGGGGTGGAGGACACTGAGTGGAGGCCAGTGGAGGGATTGGCAGAGGGGGGTGGAGGACACTGAATGGAGGCCACTGGAATGGAGGCCAATGGAGGCCAGTGGAGGGATTGGCAGAGGGGGGGAGGACACTGAATGGAGGCCAGTGGAGGGATTGGCAGAGGGGGGTGGAGAACACTGAATGGAGGCCAGTGGAGGGATTGGCAGAGGGGGGTGGAGGCCAGTGGAGGGATTGGCAGAGGGGGGTGGAGGACACTGAGTGGAGGCCAGTGGAGGGATTGGCAGAGGGGGGGAGGACACTGAGTGGAGGCCAGTGGAGGGATTGGCAGAGAGGGGTGGCAGAAACGGAGCGGTTGCTGAGGTGAATGAGTCTGGCAGCCGTATTCAGGATGGACTGAAGCGGGGATAGCCAGTGGCGAGGCAGGCCAGTGAGGAAGGAGTTGCAGTAGTCGAGTCGTGATATGATGAGGGAGTGGATGAGCTGTTTAGTGGTTTCTGGGGTTAGGATTAGGATTTTGGCGATGTTGCAGAGGTGGAGTCTGCATGAGTTTGTTAACGATTGGACTTGGGGCTGGAAGGAAAGGTTGGAGTCCAGAATGACACCAAGTACTCTGGCCTGTGGGGCGGGCCTGATAGTGGCATTGATGGTCATGATGGAGAGGAGGGGGGGGGGTGCGGGCTGGGGGGGAAACTAGGAAGTGTAGATGGAGAAGAGGGGGCCTGAGGATGGAGCCTTGAGGGACCACAACAGGAGGGGGAGCGAGGGGGAGGTGGTATCTGTAAGGGACCGCCTGGAGGTACCACTAGCACTCCACTGAATAGGCTCCCCAGCGCACGGAATCTAAGTCCCAGGGTGCTTGTTCACCAGGGCCCCTGATGGTGGGGATGGACTTGGAGCCCCCCGAGACCAGGTCGTGGCTACTGGGTGCGTCCGGCAGTGGTAGTGGTATGCGCATAGACAAGGGCTCCCGCGGAGAAGAGTCTGATGTGAGGAGGTCAGAAGACCCCACTGCAAGGGATGGATGGATGGATGAGCAAGGTCAGACGGGCCGGGTCGGTAACAGAGAGGACGGCAAGGTACAAGGCAGCGGGCATAGAATGGTCGGTTCACACGCCAGGTCAGCAACAGCAGGTCAAATCCAATCAGGGGCATTCAGGAGAGAGGTCAGGCAAAGCAAGGGTCAGGAGGTAGGAGAAAACAGCAAGGTCAGGTACAATCCGGGTCACAACTTACAAGGTACAGGTTCACAGGTTCACAGGAGCAGGGAAGACCAGAAGGCACTGAATGACAGCTCAGGGCCATTTAAATATCCCGCCCTGCGCTGCCATTGGTGCCCAGCGGGCGGCCGCAGCTTCTACTGCGCATGCGCGAACTCGAACGCCGCGGCCGGCCCGGACCTAGTGCCCGTGTCCCTGCACAGGGAGGTGCACTGCGCCTGCGCCGGGACCATCGCGGCAGGGATCGGAGAGATCCCTGACAGTATCGTTATAGGTAACACTAAAGGAGTGTTGTGATAGGTAGGACAAGAGCCAGTAGAGAGCAGAATCTCTGAGGCCGAGGGAATGAAGTTTATTGAGGAGGAGGGGGTGGTTGACTTTGTCGAAGGCAACGGAGAGGTTGAGGAGTAGAAGGACTGAGTAGTGGCCGTTAGCTTTGGCGGTTAGCAGGTCATTGGAGAGTTTGAGTAAGGGCAATTTCGGTGGAGTGTAGGGGACGGAAGCCGGACTGTAGGGGATCGAGGAGGTTGTTGTCATTGAGGTGAGAGCTTAGGCGATTGTAGACTAAGCGCTCGAGGACTTTGGATGAGAATGGGAGCAGGGAGATGGGTCTGAGGTTGTTCGGGTCGGGGGTCCAGGGAGGGCTTTTTAAGTATGGTAGTGATGTGCACGTGCTTCAGAGGGGAGGGGAATGCGCCGGAAGAGAGGGAGAGATTAAAGATGTGGGTGAGGAAGCGCAGGATGGAGGGGGAGGGAGGTCGTAGGAGTTGTGAGGGGATAGGGTCGAGGGGGCAGGTGGTGAGGCGGGCATCAGAAAAGACCTTGGTGACCTCCTCGAT